GACGTCTCCAAGAAGACACCCATGGCCCCATGGCCCATGGGACCATTTGCTTTGGCATCAAGCGGCACGCGGTCGGCGCGGAAGCGCAACTCGATTCGAACTTCATTCTGGATGGTATATCCCCACGATCAGGAATGAACATGGACTCCCTCGCCAACTTGCGGAGGCCCGGGAGAGCGTTCCCAGTGATCCCAGGCACGTAGTCGAAATCACAATCGGGCAAGTTCAGATGACCCAAGAAGGCGCGCCTGAGTGCGTCGGCGCTGATGGGGAACTCCTTGGAAGCCACGCCGAAAAAACGGGACGGGCGATCCTCGCTGCCACACTTGCGCCGGGTCGGGACGGGCGATCCTGCAGGGTCATGCCGCCGACGATGCCCTCGGCGATGGACCCTGCATCCTGGATCCTCCAAATGAGCCGCTTTCTCAGCCGCCCTGGCCGTGAACTGCTCCGCAGCTGGGGCGTCTGCAAAGCCCGAAGTATACTGCGACATGATTTGATCCCTCTGCGAGCTCGACACTGGTGACCCGTCGCTCTGCCGAGCAGTCTGGGCAATCTCACTCATCTTTTTATTTGCAAGGATGATGTGCGCACGGCACATGTTCGGATTCCGAGTTCGACGCTCAGTAACCTGCAGAGGGGCGCCGTCCGATATAAGAGACTTCGTCATGCAAATGCGCGGGTCGTCGCCGCCGACTTCAAGATGCCTTGGCAAATACTGCGCCAAGTAGCCCGCAGCTGATATTTTCTCCAATCGGGGTGCTTTCTCTGGACAAGCTTTCCGGATGAGAGCGAGGTCGTTTTCTTGCTGCATATTCGTAAAAGCAGACGCTAGGCCCCACTCCTATCATAGCGCTCTGGAAGTCGATGCACGTGCACATCTCCTTGGGGCCAGAATACAATCGGCGGAGTTTCTGACTAAAACAGTCGTCCAAGTCGCACAAGTTAGCATTGAAAAACTCTGTGGCCGTTTGCAACTGCTCGGCATATGAGACCCTCTTGTCGACTATGCGGAGGAGCTTCACAGGGTATTGCTCCATTGGCACCAACAGGCGCCACCATAAATGACAGGCCTCAGCCAATATCGTTTCCCGGAGCTGGCCCAACAACTTATCGTGGATCGCGTCCGTGGCGCCGAAGCTGTGGATGAACATCCACAAACAGGAAACCTCAGCAATCGGGAGGCGTACCATCCTGCACAAAGATTGCATAGATATATACAGCGGGTCGTTGTCCTTCACGCACAGCTCCTGCAAAGTGGGATTCTCCAAGTCGGCCCCAGCCTCGACCCGCTGGAGCCGGCGCCGCAGATGGTCCGGCGGGGCAGACGTGACCAAGGCCTCGCAAGCTCTTTGTCGTCGTAGCACAGACGTGGCGTAACACCTCAGTCGTTGTGTTTTGATCCTGGTTTCTTTCTGAAAATCAGACGCAACAGAATCAGCAGCCCTGTCCGAGACGTATAACTCGCTGACAGCCGCTCCGAAACAGTTGTGGACCAAGAAACCTGGGGAAAACAAAAAACGGAGTTGTGACGAGGAAGGGGATGCGGGATGCGGCAAGAGGCCGAGGAGGTGGCGGAGCAGGACGAGAGGGGGGCGAGGACGAGGAGGAGGAGGGAGGAGGGAGGGAGGGAGGGATCGAGGGAGGGGGGAGGAGCAGGAGGAGAAGGAGAGGGATGAGGGATGAGGGATGATGGAGGAGGGGGGGGGGGGGGATGAGGACGAGGAGGAGGGCGACGAGGAGGAGAAGAAGGAGGGGTGGGGGAAGAAGGGCGCGGCGCTTTGTCGTACTCATCCTCCCCCTCGTCCTCCTCCCTCCTGCCGCCTCCTCCTCCACCTCCTCCTCCTCCACTTCGCGTGACCGCTGCCACCCCCTCAATTTCGACCCCGCGGGGCCTCCGCACTGAGGGGCCAAACAATGGACCATCGAGCCCCGCCTGTTCTTCGCTGGCAGAAGCGCCTGGGCCCCCGGAACGAAGCCCGCGTCGCAGATGATGCTAGCGGCCATGTCAACGAGAGCCTCCCTGCTCATTCCGGCAGTTGCAGCTGTCACAATATGAACAGGATAAGCTAACCGGACGTCGCCATTGAAAAAACCCATCACGCGTTCGCAGAGCCGCCGCGCATAAGCACACAGGCGTGGGCAAAAATCTGTTCTAGGACCCCCCATCCACCCATCCACCACCCACCATCCACCATCGGACAAAGGCGGTGGGCTCGCGAAGGAAGCGGGCCTGGTAAGCGGAAGTAGGCGAAAACCCAATGAATATGATCTACAGCTTCTGTCTTCTTCGATGGAGCCGCCGCCGAAGACGGGTCATCAGATGACGTTAAACGACCGCGCGTGTGATCGGTAAACCTGCGTAGAGTCCATTCCAAAATGTCCCGGAGATGAGCCTGGTGCTCTGCTTGCGGCGCGCGGCCGTCATCATGCACGACGAGTTTGTCAGAAAGCCACTGTCTCAACTCCGCTCGCTTCTAACTCGCGCCGAAACCATTGGCGCATCAAGCCCGCATTACGTCGCATATTCCATATTCCATATTCCATATTCCATATTATATATTCTCCCGTGTCTCCTTTTCCTTTCTCCTTTTCCCTTTTCTCTTCTTATCCCCGTCCTCCGCTCCGTCCTTCCCCCTTTCCCACCCCCCACCCCCCTCGGCGGAAACGCGAAGCAGCATGATTGTCGATAATCTTTTGGCGATGGTTGACCAGACGACCAACGTGGCAAGCAGCATGAACATCACCGATCAATCTGTCCTCGCTGACCCGCTCTGGGCCTCCAGTCAAGATCAAATGCAGAAGATGAGCGCAACAGAACATCATGAAGTACAACGCGTTGTTGGGCAGCAGAGTCTCCCTAAACGCGCCTAACCTTTTGTTAGGCTTACAAGAGTCAGAGTTTTCATGAAAGATCAGCAACTTCACATCCCGAGAGAAGGTCAACACCGCATCGACGTTAAACTCGGGCGCGACAAGTTCTAGGGCACACCACAAGTTGGACGCCGAAGCACTCGCAACTGCCACGGGAGGGAGTATCTGGCGCTCTGCTTGCCGCTCGCCCTGTGCCGTGACCCAGCGGACCTGGGCCCTCTGCGCCAATATTTCTAAGATGCCAAACTGAGGTTTTAGAGGTCCGCCCCGGGCACGATACCCATCGTAATTCACAATGTCCCAACCATCTTGCCCCTCCTGCTTTCGCACAAAATACCTTGCGTTCTTGTGCACATCCACCTCCCCGAAACGCACAAGCATGGGCGTGCAATCGAAGCCTCGCTCTATGACCAAACCGCGAACAGGGCGCACAAACGTTTTGAAAGCCTTCAGAGTGGCCTGTCGGGCCAGACAGCTGTGGACGCACAAACAGTCGAAGTTCCTGCGAGTCCGCGCGAACTCCCCCTCAGACTTGGCCCGAATAGAGGAGGCTCCGAACGCTTGGAAAGCCCGCCTAATTGTAGCATGGAAGAGGTACCTCCTTGGATCCACTTGCCGATACCGCTTCCCCCGACTGCATCGCCTGGCGAAAGACGACCTCTTCATCGTAACGGCCTTCTCCCCGTGCCTCCCCGCGAGGCGTCGATTCCAGGCCCCCGAAAGCCCGCCAACCGCGCTCCCCGCCAGGGGAGAGCCCAGGCCCTGAGGCAACTCACCCTCTCCTCCTTCGCTCCTTCCTGCCTCCTTCCGTCTTCGGGCCCCTCCCTCCCCCTGCCCCCGTGCCCCGGCCCATGCCCCATGCCATACCTCTCCTCCTCGACTTCGCCTTGCCGACGGCCCCCTCCCTTTCCACGTCGCCCACCCCCCCCTACCCCGCGAACACGAAGTATGAAGTACGAGATAGAACATCAGCGGAGGAAGGCGAGGCGCGCGGGGATGAGGAGGGGGGGGACGGCGAGGCGAGGCGGAACGAGGCTGGCGACAATGCTGGCGAGGCGAGGCGGAGGAAGGCGAGGCGGGCAGGGATGATGAGGACGACGGCGAGGCGAGGAGGGGGGGGAGGGCGGGCAGCGGACAAAGCAAGAGCCCGCGCATACATGACCTCGGCGTGCCTGCGAAGCTGGCGACGCTGGCGAGCAGGTTGCGGTGGCGATGCTGATGCTCGGCGCTTTCGCCTACCCGACGAATTCTGATTCTCGGGTTGAGCAGCTGTTGACGACGACGGCCGCAAGCAACCTGGCAGTCGAGGTAAAGAGATGACCGCATCTCGCAACTCATCGCCTGACACCGCGTTACCGCGCGCCTGACTCGAAGCAAACGCCTGGAAGGCAGCGCGAATCATCGCGCGAAACTTGAACCAGCAAGCATGACAAGTTACAAGTTACGAGGGGATGGGGCGGGGGCTGCATCCACATGGGCAAGCTCGAACTCGAGACTTCCTCGCCGATGCAAGCCGGGGGAGTCGGCACCCCTCAGGACGGCGTTTCGCTGAAGACATCCTCGCCTCGATCACCCGCAAGTCTACGGGGGGGGGCCCCCCCGCCAAGACTTCCTCGCTGATGACGGGACTCCCCACCAAGACTTCCTCACCAAGAAGGCAAGATTCCACTGCCGAGCGGACGCCAGAGGCAGAGGGGGAGGAGGAAGAGGATGAGGGGTGAGGCGAGCACCCGCAGCCAAGGCGGAGGAAGAGGAGGCGAGGACCTTTCACTGCCGTCTTCACTGCCGGAGTGTCGGAATCCAGCACGGCACGCGGCATGCAGGCATGCAGCGGCGGGGCTAAAGGCGAAAGGCTCACGAAGAATACACCAGCTCCCACTGACGCCTGGCATCTATCTCGATCTCGATCTCGCGCTTCGCCTGCTCCGACACGCGTTTGCACTCTTGAAGGAACTGGCTCATCGCCCGCCAAATCCTCTTCTGCTGGCTCCTCCGGAATCCCCATATAGCAAAGCGCGCCCACGTGGTCAACGTGGCATGCCCCGAGACCTGGCGCTGCCTGTGCTCCGACGCGCGCTTGCACCCTTGAAGGAATATCCCAATCGCCCAATGATTCCTTTTCTGCTGACTCCTCCGGAATGCCCATACAGCAAAGCGCAGCCAATGTCGGCGGCGCTCGGAGGACTCCGCCATGACGCCGACAGGACAGTTCGGTCGCCCAGATCTGTCTTGTTGGAAAGCGATTGGCGGTTGGACCACAAACGATTGCGGTGTTGTATTATCATGTATGATGTATGATTTCTACACCTGGGCGGGCGGGGGGCGAGGACGAGGACAAAAGGGGGTGGGCGCAGGCAAGCGGCTAAGGGCTCAGGAAGGAATGAGAGGGAAAGAACGGGGGGGACTGGACAAGGCGGGCAGTGACGGGGGCGGAGTGGGATCGGGATGGGGAAACGGACGCGGGAATCCCCCGCCCATCCTCCCCCGTCTGGATGACCCCGACGGCCGCGGAGACAAGAGGTATTGAAGCATGGGAAATCACAAATCACGGAAATGGCACGTTGTGCCGCGCATCACTGTTGAATCCGCAACCGCGCTCAGCGGTAGATGTGCGTTAGCTTGATTGTTGGGTTTGAAGTGTCATGATGGTTGTTTTGTAGTTTGAAGTATATCAATTGTTGTTTTTTGTTTTGAAGTATTGTAAATATTGTTGAATTGTCGTTTAATTATTGTTTACTTATTGTTAATTATTGTTTTCCTGTTCCGAATTATTGTAATTATTGTATTGCTGTTCCGAATTATTGTAATTATTGTTTCCCTGTTCTTTAATTATTGTATTTTCGGCCAATTGTTGTGCCGAATTACAAATGGGGAGGCAACAGAAACCTGGATTGCGGTTCCTCGGGCCGGACAAGAAAAGCAACGCACCAACGACAAACAACGCGTTGTTTTTGTCGGCTGCGTGCCAAAGAACGTCAGATGGCAGCCTCAAAATGGCGAGCACTAGCACAGGAGGCGACTACACATAGTCAGCAGGGAAGAAGGAGGGGGGAGAGGGTGAACGAAGGGGGGGGGGTCGAGCGAGGTCCCTGGATTATTATTTCGGCGGCGTCTTGATGACCGTGCTCTCCCGGGGGTGGCCCTGGGACGCGGGTGAAGGAAGGCAAAAGCGTGCATTCGCGCGCGTGCACATGCGATGGCACTCGGCCGGGCCACGTCGCTCCGCAACCCCATGCGAAAGACGCCCGGCTCGTGCCGCAGAGAAACGCCCGCTAAGAAATTTAAGAGCTAGAGGAGGACGAGGAAGAAGAGGAGGAAGACGCAGAGCGACGCAACTTCTTAGTCGCGCGCTTTCTCTTCTGGCGGGAACTATCGAACGCGCGGCGGCGCTTGTGCTTTACAACCCGCTTGGTGAAGGGCGCCCTGCGCCCGCTCAAATTCTTGTCGGCAAGGCGGGTCCCCCGTAGAACTCTCAGCCACGAGCCTAGCTTGGCCTCCAATTCCTCTGGCTTTTTCAGCCTGTAATATCACTGCCACGCCCCGGCCCCCGCAGCGTCATCATCTGCGTCTGCGGCGCCCTTGGGGGCCAACGTGGGGACGCGCGAGGAAACCGCTGGCCCGTTCACGAAGCCGCGGCGTCGAACCGTGGGGACGTTGAGCACCCGCTTGGAGCTCCAATGGCACGTAGAACGCACGCCCATGGCTTTAGCCCGAGGGATTTGGAGCAGAAAACTGCTTCGGGCAACGTGGCTTTCGGGGGGGCTCCCAATCGATGAAGACGCACGCCGGCGAATGTGCGTTCTGTGCCTTGGCCAGGGCCGCCCGCTTGTTCATCGCTGCCACGTAGTCCTTGCACTCGGCGATGACCCGCACTTTGGCCTCCTGCTCCTTCCAAGATCGCATTTTGCCGAAGTGGCCATCGCACGGCCCTTTGCCGTGGCCCTCTGGGAAGAAATGGGCACGCACTAGCTCCAAATGTGCGTGCCGGGGCGGCAGGTCGCGCAGGAGATAGCCCAGGAACCGCGTCGAGCGGAAATCGGGGCCGCAGCCACCCCACTACACGACCGATTTGAACGATGGCAAGCCCACGCGCCTGAGGACATCCTCCAGACACGAAATGGCGAACAACGACGACTGCTCTTTTACCTCTGAGGCGTAGGTGAAATAAGTGCGCTCCCAGGTCCGCGCCCACGCCACAAACGTGAGTACCGTGACTCCCTGCACCCCGCCTGCGTAAAAGAACTCGCCGATCTCTCGCGGCCCAGCGGGCAGCTGGTCGTGCTCTTTGTAGTCGCAGTGCACGTAGAGAGTGTCGGGCTCTGGGTTGTCCCAGTGGGTCGTGTAGGCGTCCTTGCATTCGTCCCGCTGCGTGAAGTGCAGATCGAAACTGCGGCAGACATCCACAAGTCCAACCTTTTCTTTGATTGGCGGCCAATTCGTCTTGAGCTCATGGATCAGACGTGACTCCACTGCATGGAGCTGGCCATGAAGCTTTGGTGGGACCTGGGCATCGGGTCCGCGCCCATCCCGCTCTGCCAGCAGATGCGCAAGCAACGCATCCGTGCACTTCGCGCTAACTGCAAAGTTGCGCCCGTCATCGACCGCGGCGCCTGCAACTTCGGCGCCCCACCGGCCCCAGTACGACGGCAGGAGGCTCGCGAGCTCGCCCCGCGCCTTGCTGACCCAAGTCTTCACGGCAGGAGCGACGACGCTATCGAAGGTCACGCATTTGAGGCACATGTCCAACTGCCGCGTCGCACATCGAACGTCATGGTTGTCTAACTTGGCATTGCGGTAGAAGGTGGAGCAAGCGACGTCGCAAGGGGCCTCTTGCCATAACTGGTGCCGGCTGTTGGCGAGAGCACGCTTTACGCAAGGCTCGGACTCCGCAGCCTGGTCACTCGACAGGGGGCGCTTCTTCGGCGTCACGTAGTCGCACGCGGGGGCGCTGTTGTCCAATAAGTATTTCCGCATATTCTCTGGTGCCCACTTTCGGAAGCCTCGTCGGCCGTTGGCCCTCGACCGGTGCTTCGCGCTCGGAAGGTTGCCATCCCGGACGCCAGCGCTTGCTGACCAAGGTCTCCGTGGGGTGCCGACGCCAAGCCAAGCACTCGCAGCGCCTCTGTCCGCGCCGGAAGACCGGACGCAGAAGCACAGCAGGAGAACGAGAAACCGCACGCGACTGTACTGCTCGAGGACTACCTGCGCCATCTTACGCCCGAAGAGGCCGAAAAACTGCTGCGCCCCCTCATCGTCCGCGCGTCGGCGCACCCACCTCCTGCGCAGAGTTTCCTTGACCTGTGGGGTAAGAGTGGCGTCCAGAGCAGCCGCCGCCTCCTCGGGATCCTGCGAGCCAGCAGCGGCGTCCAGCGCCTCCCACAAGCGCTTCATGCGCATGCGGCGGGCGGTGATTTTGCTCCACGGCGCGCCCGGCGCCTGTCGCGGGGGGGGCGCATCCAGGAACCCTCCAGAGAGGCCCCCGTGGGCCATGGGGTTCACCCGGCGATTCCGGGGGCGCCCCCCCCCCGGCACCCCCCCGGCACAGGCGCCGGGGTTGCCACCCCCAGAAAATGGCCGCCCGGAACCCTCCCGGGCGACCCCGGAACCCGAGCCCCCCCCCCCGCTGGGCGACCCCGGCACCCAGAGTTCTCCCCATCCCCCCCAGGAACGCTAGAAATTAAAGTGGTTCGCCCATGCTGGCGATCCCCGGCCTGGTGTCCGCTGTGGCCTGGCGGCGGCGCCGCCGGCGACCCCTCGCCCGGCTGCAGCGATTCCAACCCGCGCCGCAGCGCGCCAGTTCGAAGGGACTGCGCGAGCATGCTGCGCATGCGTGTCCTCAAATCCGAGGCAGATGGGGCCGGGCCGTCGTCCCGTGCATCATGTGCAGGACCTCCTTCAGCCACAAGCGCCGCCTCCACAGGTGCTTCCTCGGCCACGGCTGCCCCGTCAACCGCGGCTGCCGCGGCGGCCCCAACGCCCTCGCCCGGCCCAGCGGCCACTTCGGCAATGGGGCCCTGCACGAATAGATTCGTGGCGTGGTCCCGCACTGCTGGACCGCTTTGCTGGGCCGCCCACGCCCCCACTTCCTCCGGCGTCCACGTGGCCACGGTTGCGCGCGCCCGCCGTCGCAGGATGCACTCGCGGTCAGCATTGTTCTGGCCCGGGTGCTCAGCTTTGATCTTGGCCATCTCGTCCTTCCGGATGTGCCTCGCCCATGCCTTGGCCGCCCGTCGCCGGGCCTCCTGATTGCGACATGCAACCGGCGGCGCAGGCGGCGCGGGCTGTTGGGCGTCAGCATCCGGCACAACACCTCCGCCACCCCCCCCTGCAGCGGCGACGGGTGCTGCGGCGGCCGCGCCACTGCCCTGCGCAGGACGCGGCGCTGGCGGCGCCGTCTTGCCGCGCAGCCTCCTCTGCGCTGCTGGTAGCGCCTGCGCTGCTGGTAGCGCCAACTCGTCGGCACCGACATCGTCTCCTGCTGGGGGGCACACAACTAGCACGGACTCTGGACCGCCACACGGACACCATGCGCCCCTGCGCTCAAGTCGGACCCCCTGCCGCACTGTGAGTGCGACGCCTTTGACTGGCAGGTCCGCTGGCCCATCAATGGGGCCACCAAGCTGTGAGACGTCCGCCTCCTGTCCCAAGTCTGTCAGCAACTCCAGAGAAGACTCCGATAGCTCACAAAGCGCCCGCTGGAGCATTAACACATGAAGCCATAATGCGAAGAAGCGCCCAAAACATACCCACGGTACCCTCCATACCTTTCTATAGCGACCCCCAAAGCCCCTCGCAGGCCACCCCGAGAAGAGAGGGGGATGGCGGTCACGGCCGCAGGCCGTCTCTGTAACCTGGGACCGCCACCTCGGCATCTTCGAGCTGTGACCCCCCCAAAGTCCTGCTAGCAATTTGGCCTGCACTGCTGCCGACTGCTTCGCCCAGAGTGCCCGTGTGAGGCACATCATCTTGGCCTTCAGCTTATCGGCAGTCGCAGCAGCCCCCAGCTCCTCCACTGCTTGCACGCGCAAGCGACCCCAAACCAACGAGCGCAACCTTCGCAACGCCCGCAGCTTCCCCTCGGTCTCCCCCATTGCTAGATCCAATGAATGCTCTCGGTGGCCTCGTGGCCTGCCTTAACAAGCGAAAGACTTGGGCCAGAGGCCGACTGCGGAGAGGAAGGGAGCAGCGGAGGAAGTGAAGTGCAAGAGCTAAGAGATAAAAGAAAAGGTGGAAGGAGAAACATATTGTACCATTCGCCCCCAGCTCCGAACAAGCATGCCATGTCTGTCGGCAAACTTTACGCTGACTGGGACTTCGAGGCGCATCTGGTCGCAGGGACGCGGAGGCCCCTCCCCTTTCTGAGTTGATTCCCCAACCCTTCCTCAGTTAAACTGGCCCCTCCCCTCCCTTCAGTTGGCGCCCTCCTCCGGCCCTGCCCCTTTCTGAAATCACTCCCGCGCCTCCTACCTAAAAATCGCGCGGACAAAAGCAAGAACGTAAGGTTACGTTCTTGCTCCCTCCCCTCTCCTTCCACCCCCTTGTCCTTCCCTCCATTTATTCCACCCTCCAGTCCCTCGCCCCTGCCGTCATTCCCTCCTTGTCCTGTCCTTGCCCCTGCCCCACCCCGCCTCCCGCTGCTCCTCCTCCTCCTCCTCCTCCCTCGACCCGCAGAGAAAATCAGACATGATAAATTGCATTCTTGATGATTTCCCCTTCATCGCCTCCACTCCCCTACGCTACCCCGCAAGTCGGTAAGAACGCAAGAACGTAAGAGCGTCAGAACGTAATTCCCAGTAATCCTGCACGTCCACCCACCCCCCTCACGGAGAAAGGGGGGAGGTGAGGGTCGCTCTTTTCCTCGAGCAACAAAGGGCTGCAGGATTTCCTGGATCCTCCAGGACAGTATAGATTATATTTTATATAATCATATATCTATGTGAAACTACAAACTTCCCAGCACCTCTCCTTGGGCGCTGGAAGCGGCTCGGCCTCCAGCCAAGAAAAGTGAGCCACAGGGAAGCCTCTTTGTGCTCCCTGGGCAGGCGTCGCAACGGCGCTGGCCCCCTAAACCCATCGCGGGGCTACCCGCTGAGGGCAGGCGCGGGGCAAACCGCAGCCTGTAAAACAAAGCTCACCCTCGGCCGTCGTAGTGCTTCCTGCGACCATTCTCCTAGCCCTCTCCGTGGATCACCTGAGAGCCTCTGGAACGGTCTCGGCACTCGCCCTTGAACGTCTCGATCCACTTCTGCGCAGCCTCTGGACTGCTGATGTCCTGCAAGCTAAGCTTGGCAAGAGGTCCATGCGCTGTAGCCATCACCCGCAGCTGCTCGATCTCCTTGGCCTGGCGATCCGACAGAACACCTCCGTGCTTGATCATCCTCGTGACCAGGTCTTCTTTGATCCCTGACACGGCCAGGCTCTTGGCCTTCAAGACAGCTCGCAGCTCAGCCACAAGAAACGTGTTTAAGAGCTTGTGCCTTGCACCTTTGTCCTGCTGTGCACACACGGTCTTGAACTCGACGTCAGCCCGCGCAGATGGTGGACACGTGCTTCCAGAGGCGGGGCTAACCGCACCCTGGAGGAGGAACTTGTCGTAGAAGTTCTTGAAGTAGCAACCACACCAGCACCCCAATAAGAAAGTACTCGCTGCAGTCACCATAACAAGTCCCAACATCAAGTAGAACCTGAACTCCTCGCTCTCCACATAGTGGCTGACAGGCGCGGGGCAAACCGCAACCTCGTCAGATCCTCCGTACACTGTCACCTTCTCGCCTGACGCCTTCGTCACGACCTCCGTGAAAACTGCCATTGCGCTCAAGCCCGTCATCTGCTTTCCGAACCTGAGGTTGAGAGTGGTGCAATGCTTCTCGATTGTCGGCCACTCGCTGTACTTCGTGAGCATGTCGGCTGTCATCTTGCTGGTGTCCTCCTTGTAAAGCTCGAACGCCTTGAGACGCAACCGCTCCTGAATCCACAAGTACCTCAGCTCCAGATGCCTGACCTTGCCCACCCCAACTCGGCTGCACATGCCACGTCCAGCTGTGCTGTCACTATAGATCTTCAGGTTGCAGGGCCTCTGGGTCTCGATCAGGTAAGTCTTACACTGAAGTCCTCTGGCTGTCGCACTTCCCGTAGCATACATCTCGGATTCCCCTGAACTTAGGGCTATCGTACTCTGCGTCACTGAGTAGCAGTCCCAAGTGTGGTCGCCATACCTCACAGCTCCTCCACTGGTAGATCGCCGCTGTAGTTCACTCGTAGGTGCCCAGTCCGCATCACCATCTACACGAATGCCTTCAGGAGTACCTTGAAGTGGGTAACACCAGACCAAAACAGGCTGTCCTTCGTAATACCTTCCAAGTCGCTGAACACGCGCATGCATCAAGACGTTCGGGTTGGAGACGTGCTGCATCGCTGTCTTGCTGGCGTACATCGTGTCGGGCCTGTCCGAAGAAAGGTAAAGAGCGGTGCCTGCTGCACCCGCCACTTCTCGAGCACGATCCTTGGAAAGAAGGTCTAGGCTGTCTCGTCGGCCTTGTCCTGTAGCTTTCGTTCCTGGAGTAGGAGCTGGTTTACAACCTCGCTTCTGCGTCCACTTGATCATGAAGTCCACATGCTTGGGATCGGCAGTCCAGAAGAAACCTGGCTCCTCGCAACCTGGCAACTTGTCGGTGTAGCCGATCGTCCTCTTGAGGTATGTAGTCTGCCCCACCGCTCCTGGTCCAAGTCTGGCGCTGGCCGTGACCTCAAACTGCTGCTTCAACAACTCGTCCAGCTCGTCCAGCTGCTCGTCGTAGCCTTCAGCAAGAAAGTCATCGCCATGGCAGATCGCTGTGCTATCCTCGTCGAAGGGGGCTGTGTTGGGGCTAGCAGGTAAGTAGAACACGTTAGGAGTTCCAACCAAGCATTCCCAATGGCCGTCGTCCATAGTAGTTCTCACAAGCTCACCCCACATCTGCGACGCCTTCCTGGTACCGTTCATGGCCTTGCGTAACCACCAGCACCTTCCAGGCGGACACAGCTCTCTCCCAGGATGCACGTAGATCGTCTCGTCTAAGTCAGCGTTGAAGAAAGCCTTCCTGACGTCCCAGACTTGTATCTTCCGCAGGTGCTGCCCGCTGGAAGTTGGACTTGAAGCGGCACGGCTCAGCGTCGCTCTGACAATCATGAGCGGGGGCGTGCCTTGGTGGTTGTCCTCCCTGACCTCGTACTTGTTCACCTCGGTTGCTACGAACCTCCACCTGACCTTTCCTTCTTTCATGTGGGCTATCGGGAAACCTCCAATGTGCTTGCCGTCAGTCGCCGTCGATGTCGCCACTTCCACGTAGACCCCGTAGTCTTTCATGGCCTGCAGCTCGTCGTCGCGACCCTTCTGATACAGGTCCTCATCCAGAGGCTCTCCAGTATAGTAATCGTAGTGTATCGTCTTTGGGCTCCACTGGTCTTTCTCATGCAGCTCGGCGCTCACCTCAACCATCTGTTCCACCTGCTGATCCTCAGGATCTCCGAAGTGGCTCCTGATTGTGCCGATGTGGCTCATCAAACATCTCCTGCATGCACACTCAGCTTGGTGGCATTCTCGTAGCTGGCATCGTGACGAGTGCTTCTCACACCTCTCGGAACATCTCGCACTGCGCTTTGGGTGTGGATCCCACATGGGGTCGAAGCTCTCGTCGTAGCCCTCCTCGCAGACTGCCAACTCACAGACAGAGAGATGCCCAATGCTTGCTACCCTGGGCTTCTTGACCTCAGCTCCTTCACGAACTTCACCTGGGGCACTTCGCCGAAAGTCGCTCCTGAGCTCGCCACTCTCTGTGTCCATGGCTGTCTGCACCTCAGCCTCTCCTGGGCCAGGGACCATAGCTACGTCGCTGGCAGCAGGTGCGGGGCTCACCGCAACCTCACTGCTGCTTGATGCCGCTGCTCCTCCTGGTGCGGCTCCAGGCGCGGGGCTACCCGCAGCCGGTGCTGGCACCACGACTGTAGCCTCAGGGGCCACAGGGTCCTTTGCCAACTTCTCGCGCAGCAAGTCGGCCTGAATGGTCTCGAAACGCTGTCGGCAGGCTGCCGAATGCGAACCGTATCCTGTACTGCACTTCCTGCACTCGTCAGTAGGACCATGAGCATCGATCATGCGCTCCGTGATGTACATGCTGCGTCCGATCGTTCCTGAACTCTTGTCGGGCGTCTGCTTCCAGGGCGTCACCCTGATGTGCTGGATGAGCTCGGGCTGCCATCTGAACTCCTCAGGCATCCTTCGCACCGTTCTGACCTTCTGCACTCCACGTTCAGGATCGATCACGAGATGTGTATCGTCCAGCTCACTCTTACCAACCCAGATTCCTTTTGCGAAGCGGGCTTCCCATTTGCCACGTCCCGCGGCAACTCTGGCTGAGATCCGATACCAGACCTGCTCACCCATCTCCGCAATCTCGCCGTTGTACTCTTTGCCGTAGAGCATCTTGTAGGAGGAACCTCCGTGACTGCGAGGCTGGAATCTGGTAATCATCCACCCCACTGAGTTCACAAGCCATGGCACGATCGGATCCGTCATCTTGATCTCACAGCCCAGCTTGTGCTCCAGCTTCAGCTTGTAGGCTCGAAGTAGACCAGCTGCTAGCTTGTTAGCTCCTTCAGCGTAGCCTGCACTTTGCTTAGAAAAGGGCGGTGATCCCCGCACCAAGGTTGAGTGTGATCTGCGATCTCGAACTGCCTGCGCCAGAGCCATGGTGGCAGGCTCCTGGTCTGTCTGAAGTATGACTGTTGTGTGGCCCCAAGCTTCCAGCACGCCTAGCAGGAAGGACACCTTGTAGTCATCCGTCTCCTTGTTCGCGTACAACGTCGCCTGAGCCAAGATCTTACAGTCGATAACATTCAAGACAGAGACCGCTTGGTCTAGCTCGGCCTTCGTGACCGACATCTTCTCCCTGATGCTGAAGTAACCTCCTTTAAGCTTGTACTTCGCAGCCAGCTGGTCCGTCCCTACGTAAAAGATGTCGAACATGACCTTCGGGATCTTGTTCTCATCAGCTGGTTCCTGAGCGTGGTGTGGGTCATCGTCTGCTCGAGCCTGCACGCAGATGGGACACCAAGGCCGAAAAGGTAGATGATGCCCTTCGTGCGCGG